CTAAAACGTGTGAATTTAGCAGTTTTTGGCCAAAAATGTACGTGTGCAAGCGCGTGATCGTCGCGTGTTATACACCACTAGAAAGAGCAGGAAATTTCCGATAAGATAGATATGGTTCTAGAGTTTTCTCCTGCTCATATAAGAAAGTTATCGACCCGAACAAGGTTTAAGAATGGCTAAAACGTGTGAATTTAGCAGTTTTTAGCCAAAAATGTACGTGTGCAAACGTGTGATCGCCGCGTGTTATACATCACTAGAAAGAGCAGAAAATTTCCGATAAGATAGATATGGTTCCAGAGTTTCCTCCTGCTCATATAAGAAAGTTATCGACCTGAACAGGGTTTAAGAATGGCTAACAAATGTGAATTTAGCAGTTTTTGGCCAAAAACGTTTCTGCGTGTAGGGATGGACATTAAGGGTGTGTAGCGTGCTGTGACAGCAGCTCCATTTAAAAACATAAAATTGTATTTCATTTGTTATTATTTTTATATTTGCACACAATTGTTTTTGAAGCAAAACATAACAGACGCAAAATAAAAAGTCTGCCAAAAAGTTAATTTTATAATTATTGTATTATTATGTTGGCTAATACCTCATAGCCACATTTGGTGACTCCGATCAAAGCAACTCGCAACCTGGTAGATTCTTCCTCCAGTCCGATTAAACCAACTCACAACCTGAAAATTATCCCTTCAACCCGACTAATCCAGCCCGGCAAAGGAGATTCAACTGAAAAATTCAAGAATAACCAATTGAAGAATTAAGAACAACCCAAGCAGAATCCATTCAACCGATTGAGCTACAGCGAACATACGCCCCGACGTCCCTCGCACTCTATAACCGACTAAACGTTACCGTCGTCTAATCAGACTGCGCTACAGCGCTGTAAGTACTTTCACTTATTCACCTATTTAGAATTACAGAAAGAGGAAATTAAAAATTTTATTTTTATCATCCAAATTATTGAATTAAATCCGTTATAAATTTATGTCATACAATGACATATTTCAAAATCATACAATAAAAATAAACAAAATTTTATTATTTTTTAAAAGTTTTTATTAAATTTTTAAATCGTAAATAGAGTTTCTTAATAAAAATTTAAATTTTGTTTCAATATGGCGACCACAGATAACGGTGACAATTTGATGACTGACGACCTTCAAAATGTCACTGCCATTAAATTTCTACCATTTTGGTCCTCCAATCCTGATTTGTGGTTTCGGCAAATAGAGGCCCAGTTTACACTGTCAAAAATTAAAAGCGAGAAAACAAAATTCAATTATATTCTCGCGAATTTACCAACAGATATTATTACAACCGTAGTTGATTTAATTCAATCTCCTTCGGATACAACTCCTTACTCTTCCCTTAAAAACGCTCTGATAGAAAGATTATCATTGAGCGAAGAAAAAAGGCTCGATGATATTCTTTCTGGGACTCAAATGGGAGATCAGCGTCCGTCGGAGTTTTATAGGGCTATGTCAAGTACCGTCGGAGGTTCCCAAGTAGTAAGCAACGAATTGCTTCTGAAACTTTGGAAAAGACGCTTACCTCAAGCGGTATCAGTCGCGCTTCTCACGTCTGGAAAGGAGGAAGTAGCAGACCTTCTATCTATCGCCGACAAAGTCTGGGAGACGTTAAATTCCTCCACACTTTCTTCCTCATTTTCCGACTCTCAACACAACACTTTTCATCACACCTACAATTACACCCGTGACAACAACACTACACCACGAACGACACCGCGACATGACGAGCTTTTGACGGCAATTCAAAATTTGACAGTAACTTGCCAAACATTATTAAAATCAGTTGCCCAACAACAGCAACAACAGGACTGCGTAACGAAACGTTTAGAGAGCCAGATAAATTCTTTATCTGCACAGTTTCAAAGCAATACACCTTCAACTACGTCAAATTATTGTAATTGCCACCAGCGTCATACCTCTCGTGAGAGATATCGTTCTCATAAAGTTCGATCAAGAAGTAATTCAAAGTCAACTAATTTGAATCACGTATGTTGGTATCATCGTAATTTTGGTAAAAATGCAACCAAATGCGATGGTGCCACGTGCAGTTTTTATTCCGTATTTGCAGATAGAACCACCACCAATAATTCAAAAAACCCGTAAAGATTCGAAGGAAAAAAGAAGAAATGTTTTCTAAATTCAAAATTAAGACTGATAGTCAGCCTCAAATTTTGGCAAATTCATTTAATACAAGACTTTTTATATTTGATAATCAAAATAATCTAAATTTTTTAATTGATACTGGCGCCGATATTTCGGTTTTACCATTTAAACTTTTTCCCAAACACAACCAAGACACCGAATCAAGCCTTTCCGCAGCCAATGGTACTAAAATTAACACTTACGGAAAAAAATTACTCACGGTTTCGCTGAATTTAAGACGAAATTTTCCATTCGTCTTCACCATTGCGAACGTTAATAAACCAATCATTGGCGCAGACTTTCTTCATAAATTCGGTATCTTGGTTGATGTTAAAAACAAACGATTAATTGATTCAAAAACAGAATTATACTTAATTGGTACCAGTATCAAAACAAATGAACCAACACCAAAACTTTTTTCTTTCGAATCCATATATACAACCCTTTTAAAATCATTCCCAACACTAACCTCTACACCGGATTTTTCTTCACCAGTCAAACATCAAACAACACACAAAATTATAACTAATTCTCATTTACCGTTTTGTCGTCCTCGACGTTTAGATGTACATAAACACGCAATAGCCAAAAGGGAATTTGATCAGATGGTAGCCATGGGAATATGTCGACCCTCTTCTTCTTCAACAGCATCGCCTCTACACATGGTCCCCAAAAAGGATTCCAATGATTGGAGACCATGTGGAGATTATCGACAATTAAATAACGTTACTATTCCGGACCGATATCCCCTTCCACATATTCAGGATTTCAACTTACATTTGAATGGATGCAAAATTTTTTCAAAAGTGGATTTAGTAAGGGCATATCATCAAATTCCGGTGGAAGAAGAAGACATTCCCAAGACAGCTATCACTACTCCTTTTGGTCTTTTCGAGTTTACTCGTATGCCCTTTGGCCTCCGTAATGCTGCTCAGACCTTTCAGAGATTCATAAATGAAGTTCTTTCGGGTCTCAACTTCTTATTCGTTTATTTAGATGACATTCTCATTGCAAGTCATAACGAAGAAGAACATTATGTACATCTCGAGAAGTTATTTGAACGGTTAAGTACATTCAATATCAACATCCAACCATCTAAATGTGTTTTTGGAGTTACTTCCATTGATTTTCTTAGCCATCATATCACTAGCGATGGTATTCAACCTTCTAAGTCTAGGATTGATGCTATTTCAAAATTTCCCAAACCAAAAACATTGAAGGAACTACAAAGATTTTTGGGCATGATTAATTTTTATCATAGATTTTTACCGAACATTTCTAATATTTTATCACCCCTTCATAATCTTTCATCATCGCTTTATTCAATTAAACAAAAATTAATAACATCTTGGTCAGATGAACATGAAATTTCCTTCGCAACAGCTAAAGATCTTCTAACGAAATCTACCGTTCTGGCTCATCCATCTCCTCACGCTTCGCTGTTACTTACCACAGACGCTTCTAATACAGGTATAGGAGCAGTTCTGAGCCAAATTATTGATGAAACACCGCAACCATTAGCATTTTATTCACATAAACTTTCTCCAAGTCAAGTTAAATATTCAACGTTCGACAGAGAGCTATTGGCAATATATTCTGCCATAAAATTTTTTAATCATTTCCTACACGGAAACAATTTTACAGTTTTCACCGACCACAAACCTATAACTACGGCAATATTTTCATCAACAGAAAAAACACCACGACAAACCAGGTACCTAAATTACATAACACAATATACATCCGATGTGAGATACATTAAGGGAAATTCCAATATTGTTGCAGACGCTTTGTCCAGGACAAATATTGAATCCCTAAATTCTCAGTACCCCGACACACTTACACTTTACAAAGCTCAAGTCACAGATATCGAATTGTCGAACCTACTACATAAACAATTTTCTCACACTCACACTACAACACCCTATCAGTTATTGCTACAACCCACAACGCTACCTGATATCAAATTATGGTGTGAAATATCAACGGAATCTCCGCGAATCTACATTCCGCAGCAATTTAGAGAAATAGTTATACAAAAATTTCATGGTTTATCTCACCCTGGCATTCGAGCAACCATTCATTTAATAAAAACAAAATTCTTTTGGCCTCATATGTCGAAACAAATTCGTATTTGGACAAAATCATGTTTACAATGCCAGAAAGTTAAGATACAAAGGCATACAAAATCGCCAATTCTCAAAATCAAAGTTCCAAAAGTTCGATTTGAACACATTCACATTGATTTGGTTGGCCCACTTGTTCCATCTCTTGGATGTACTTATCTGCTCACAGTCATTGAGCGTTTCACACGGTGGCCAGAGGCTTTTCCTCTAAAAGATATCTCTGCAGCCTCTATTGCAGATACTCTTTTCAGGCATTACTTCAGCCGTTTCGGTATTCCTACCATGATCACTCACGATCAAGGACGACAATTCGAATCACTATTATTTTCAAAATTCCAATTATTTTTAGGTACTCATCAAATACACACATCTGCTTATCACCCACAAAGTAACGGTATGATTGAACGATTTCACCGTACTTTGAAATCAGCGATTATTGCTCGAGGTAATTCTTCTAGATGGAACAATGACTTGCCTTTGATTCTCCTAGGTCTCAGGTCATCCCTAAAGGAGGATTTAGGTTGCTCATCCGCTGAATTGGTTTATGGTCAGCAACTCAGATTACCAGGAGAATTTTTCTTACCTACCGAACCATCAATTGAAACTGAACCATTATTATCACGTTTAAAATCATCTTTTGCTGACATTAAACCAGTTCAGTCAACCATACATTCCAGCCAAAAACCTTTTGTTCACAAAGAATTATTCAGGTCAAACTTTGTATTTGTTAAAATTACTGGAATTAAACCTACGTTGTCTCCTAGGTACGAAGGTCCCTTCAGAGTGTTGAAGAGATTTTCAAAATTTTTCGTTGTATTGAAAGACAGTAAAGAAATAAATGTAAGCCTCGATTTGCTGAAACCGGCTTTCTTTCTGAACGAAAACGTTTCTCCTGAAGTCAACAATTTAATAATTAATAAAACTAAAAAAGTACATTTTAAATTTTAATTCAAATTTTTGACTAAATGTTATCCCTCTTTCTGTTCTTTCTTTATAGGAGGGGAAGTGGATGTAGCGTGCTGTGGCAGCAGCTCCATTTAAAAACATAAAATTGTATTTCATGTGTTATTATTTTTATATTTGCACACAATTGTTTTTGGAGCAAAACATAACAGACGCAAAATAAAAAGTCTGCCAAAAAGTTAATTTTATAATTATTGTATTATTATGTTGGCTAATACCTCATAGCCACAGGGTGATTTAAGCATGACGCCGATAGATATTGACCGACGAAAACCCGGATTAAGGTAGCTGAAGGAGCGCCCTTTCTGACTGTGATAACGGTTTTTTAAAATTCGGTTTCGTAACAATTGCACAAGTCCTTGAAGTTTGGTAATTTTGAGCTATTTTAAGTACAGCGCGGTATTCTTCATTTTTTATTGATCTTAATATCAACTTATCGGCAGACGAAAACCCGGTTTTAGATAGAGAAAGATTCAAGCTTTCAAGTGGTGCATTTAGTTTTTCGCCATCCCTAATTATAAGGAAGATATCAGCTAATAAAGTAGATAGGAAATTATGGGTAAAAGTTTGTTGTTGGGAGGTTTGTTGCTATCGTCGCACGGGTTAAATAAATGTAATTGTATTTGTTTGAGCTTTAATATATTATCTTTTTTTTTTATTTGATTAATGTATCTTTTTGTTTGTAGACGGTGAAAAATCTGTAAACTAACACAAAGATACTTTAAACAGAAGACTTTAAAGTGGCTTAGATATTTCAAATGTGTAACCTTTGTTGGAAAATGCGAAATTAATGTTCTGATTACCGTCAAAATCGAATAGTAGCGGTAGTCATATTAACCAAATTCTTCTGATCAATGCCTATCATTGAAAATATCATATCAAACTCACAATAAGCTTTACTCACATTTAATTATGATAGTTTCTCTACATACATACATTATTTATACCCTTCGATATAATCATGTTAAAATAATGCAAGTACTGCCTAACTTGCTAGCTTAAACAGCAGCTTTTAGTAGCCCTGAAAACCTAATATATCACTCAACTATTCCTTTTTATTAACACGAAATAGAACTGTGTATTTAAGTGCCACAACCATGTTAACCTAGATTTTAGGTAGTGCTTTTGTGCTTCTTGTTTAATCAAAGTACATGTATTATTTTATATTGAGAAGACTTTAAAGTGGCTTAGATATTTCAAATGTGTAACCTTTGTTGGAAATTGCGAAATTAATGTTCTGATTACCGTCAAAATCGAAGAATTTTATAGAAGCAGTTATAGGTATTTATTAGAATTTGTAGAACTACAACATTCGTAGCATTTGAAAAAGTGTAGTCTTCTTCTTCTTGGTGCCGGCGCGCACCGGTACGCCCGTTATACACACACCGTGCACACCTCACCATCCTTCCACACCGCGTCGACGTGTCCTGTCGACCATTCCTGGTGCGGTCCCGTTCTGTTCGTAGTGGTTCGTAGTTCCAGCAGAGACGCGCTCTGCCAGTGCGCGAGAACCTCTCGTACCGTCTACATTCCGGGTCACTGTGCTACCAATTTCCCTCACGTTCACGTTACGATTTCGCAAAACACGCGCTAAAACTTATACTAAAATGTTTGAATAAAAAAAAGATACAAAAACTTTCCCCCGAGAAAAGAAAAGCTTTTTTTAAAGAGCTAAAAACAATTTAATACTTTTTAACTTGTGCGCAAAAACTAGTGTTTAATTCTTAGTGTATGTGTAAGTGGTGAAAATCAACTTTTTGGAGAGGACGAATTAAAAGCAACCACTATGACGTGGATTACGGGTGAGAGGACCCTGTTGAGCTTCTTCGGAGGCCTCCTCTTCACCTACTACTGGACGCTAGTGACGGTGTTTGCGGACGTTGGACCTTTATCAGGTAAGAAAAAGGATGAAAGCAACAAGTTGTTTTAAGTTTTCGGATTTCTTGGTCGTTTTAGACGCCGTCGTCGGCGTCTACATCAAGACTTTTCTTCTTGTTTTTAAAAGGTGACAAGATCGGTTTTCTGCTTACGTGGAACTCTCCGCCGGTTAAGGTGGGTTACTGCAAAAAAAGTTGTTTCTATTGTGTTTCACCGGCGAGAGGAGGAGAACAAGTAAAAGAGGTTGCTGGAGAATACGTTTTCGGCATCGTTAAAAAAACTTTATGATTTCACCACGCACAAAAATTCGAAATACTTTTTCCGGTGGTTATAAGAGTAATTAAAGCTCTCTTGGTTTCTCTATTTACTCGGGTTACTTTCTAGATAACTGTAAACTACGCCTAGTTTTTTTTTTTTAGAACGTTTCTTTGAAACAAAGAACAAAATACTTCTTTTCTTTTATGTTATTACCTGTGTTTTAATAGGCGTTTTTAAAAGTAGGTTTATTTTGACGAAAAATTAAAAGAATTTTTATTAACTACGTTACTTCACGTGTAATGAGTTGTTATAATCATTATATTTTTTGTTAAAAGTGGGTCACTTAAAAGTCAAGTACCTTTTAAATAACAATAAATTAGATTTATAGTTATTGTCGTTTTTCTCTATCGTTTTATTTCTTCATGTATTTCAATAAAATGTAGCTTTTTATGAATACAGTTAATTAATTAAAGGTAGAGATTACTTTTATTAAGAATTCATGCAAATATGTAATTGGTATACAGAGTGTGTCAAATAATCGCCCCATTATGTATTACTTAGAAACGATAAAAAATACAAATTTGGCTAAATTAGACAACCTTATTTGTAAAAACCACTGAAAATGGTGATTTTAAGATTGAGCTTCTAACTCGTTTAATTTGTCAAAAATCATATTAACGTTTTAGCGTTTATTTTACTTTTCTGCGTATTTCGGCAATAATAAATCCATTTTAAGTTTATAGAAATCTCTATTCCTAATTAAACTCTCTTAATTTACATAGATTTCAATTAAACCTTAAACATTTAGATGATAAAATTGTGCCACAAAATTTGGTAATACAAAATATGAAAAGAACTGATCGCAAATGGGCTTTATCGCATTTTGCGACTCGTTAAAACTGCTACGTTGGATGATGTTTAGTTATTTATTTAGTATCATACATATATTAACAACATCCAAGATAAATTAAAGTTTACTCTGGAGCTCGAGAATAATAAGGAAATTACTTTTCTAGATCTGAAACTGATTTTCCCAAAAAATGGCAAGTTTTCGTTTCTTTTTTAATAGAGTACTAGATTACCTTTATCACATGACAATAGAATCAAAGAATTTAACTATATTTTTAATCTAGGTAAACAAAATAAATACACATACAAAACACTTAATAAGCTTTTAACCAAGATACAACAAACAAAGGATCCTCTATATAAGTACAAAATTTAAAAAAGACAATATATATAAGCATGTTTCTTATAATAGTTTGACTCAAAAGGCCCAAAATATATTTTCTAAATATAATGTGACTTTAGCATATAGTAATAGGAATTCTATAGTTAATTTGCTATCCAATCACCATCTTAATGATAATAAAGAAACTTCTCATGATAATGGTGTTTATAAGATCAACTGCAATGATTGCAATAGTGAACCCAATTCTAATATTTTCAAACACATCAAAGCGACTGGACATAGTATGGATTTCGATGGGGTGAAACTATTGCATAGGTGTGATAAAGGGTTTAAACTTGATTTATTAGGATCTTTTGAGATTGATAAACATAATAAAAACAATTACATTGATCTTCTTAATGAACAAGTCGAAATTTTCTACACCCCTCTTTACAAATATATACCTAAAAATGTTTTAATAGCTAATTTTTTATTTTTATTTTTATTAAGAAATTTTTTTACAAATTTTCATTTTGTTTTGTGAGCAATTTAAATGTAACATAACATAGTTTTATCTCTCTGGAACGTTTGCTTTTCTTCTTTTTCTTGTAACTTCGATAAATTTACTTTAGTCGCATGACCGGTATTGGTCGAATTTTGTTAAGTAAGTTTTAGATTTCATTTTATCTCATGACAAATTGTAACGTGTTAACTATAAGATTTTGTTTCGATAGTTTCTTGGTGAGGTTTTGTTGGTTGAATGTTTATTTTCAACAGGTGTGTTGTTCTGTGACATTTTTTAAGGACTTGACGTGAGTTAAAAGAAAATTTGTTTAATTACGATGATCTTGATTTTGGTTTGTTTCTTTTCGTTTAATTAAGGTTTTGACTGATGATGAAGTAATACTTCGAAACCGGTTTCAATAAATATTTAAACAGCAAGTACAAGAAGTATTTTAATTATTTCTAATTAACCACCATTTTAAATATTTATTTAGAGTTATTATTCACCGTATAAAAAATGTGCCCTTTTAGCATTTGATGCTGTCCGTTATTATTAATTAATGTTTAAAAGTAAAAATTATTTTTATTTTTCATATTTCACTATAAATGTTATTATTCGTACTAGTCAATAGTTTTTACGATATTTTGATGATGTTCTGCATGAATTTATATGGAGGAAAATAGCTGTATTAAGTACGTTTATAATTTTGTGAATATCTGTTAACTCATTCGACAATTATTGATGGAGAAAATAAGCGCTAGTGGATCTAAACAAGAGTCACAGCCTTTCATCACTTTGTGCTACAACTTTGTACTTGAATAATAACAGCGGTAGTCATATTAACTAAATTCTTCTGATCAATGCGAATCATTGAAGATATCATATCAAACTCACAATAAGCTTTACTCATATTTAATTATGATAGTTTCTCTACATACATATACCCTTCGATATAATCATGTTAAAATAATGCAAGTACTGTCTAACTTGCTAGCTTAAACAGCAGGTTTTTAGTAGCCCTGAAAACCTAATATATCACTCAACTGTATTACTCACTGTTTATTTAAGTGCCACAACCATGTTAACCTAGATTTTAGGTAGTGCTTTTGTGCTTCTTAATAATTGTTTTTGGTTTTTCTTAACATTGTGTTGGTTTAGATGGAAAATTCTTTTCTATACTTTTCAATGTTATATTTATTTAAATTCTACATGTTTCGAGGATCCAGTCCTCATCCTCAGGAAAACTCCTGTACATGAATACAAGATAACAAATTAAAATTAAAATTAAGTTTGAAATTTAAAACAATGTGTAAAAGTAAATTATAGGTTATGTCAATCTTAAAGAAAATTATTGAGTTTTTACTTACGTCGATTTTTGAATAAAAGATAATCATATCCCTCAGATTACAAATCTTATGATTAAACAATTAAAACAGAAACAAACTTTTAAACTTCTAAAATTGAGCGACAAATTTAACTGGTTGTAAAATTTTAGTAACAACGACGTAGTTCAACCATTTTTAAACTGTAACGTGCTCGGCTTTAATTTTAAAAGTTTAACTAATTCTATGGTATTTTTCGGAATTAAGAAATGTTCTACAACATAATCTGTCAATCCTACAATTATTTTTTGATAAGATGGATGTAACTTCACATTTTTAACGAAGTCTCTGAAGATACCTATAAGCCGAAACTAGTCAGACGAAAAAATAAAATTTTGCAACCAGTTAAAGTACATTGAAACTGTCTTTCATTTTGACCAACAACAAATAAGCACAACAAATAATCTTGAAATTTCATACACGAAAATTAGATTTTTGAGCTAATTTTTGAAATTCAAAAAGCAGGTTAATCCCTTATATACATGATGTGTTCTAGGCTACAAGATCTTAGCTGTTGTACCTATACAGAAGTTAGGTTATGACTTATGATAGGTTTCAACTTATAAAAAGATATCTGCATTATTTCATGTATAATGAAGAAGTTGACTATCTTATCAGCGAATTTTCTTCTTTGTACACTTTAAATACCATTGTCGAGGGAAAGTAGAATAAAGTCTACTATATTATGCGAGAAGAGGACTGGTTATGTTCAAGAGTCATTATTATTCAATGTCACGATAAAAAGATATTTACTTGCTTTCTTCAGTCCACACTAAAGATATAATTGCAAAAGAAAATAGAAGAAAAGTAAAAAGAAGTCTAATTTGAAAGTAGTTAATGATTATAAAAGACCATGATGGTGTTGATTTAGTTTACGAACATCTTAGAAGCTGTTCAATTGGAATAAAACGTGGTAGAGTGTATAAATAAAAGTGTTTTTTCATCTTCCAAACTAAGCTTTATGTAATTCCTTCATCATATATAGATCGGACGGTGCTAAAAATAAAGTACGAAATATCAATTTTAGACCAAATCATCAAACAGAACAAGCCTTACGATTATTATGACGTCCTAGTATAAAGTTGCTTCTGCTTACGGATCTTTATCTTCCTCAGCTTGTTACACCAGGAGAAAGGGAGAATCCAATTAGATATAAACCAGTCACTGCTTTATATGCTGTCAAAAAATGACGGAAAAAGGAAGAAAATCCGATGTGAAATCAAAGGTTATTGTAAGTGTGTAAAAAAGTTTGATCGTTAAAATACGATATTCTTCTCTTATTCCTGAAATTGGTCTAGTACAAAGTGATGAAAGACTGTGACTCTTGTTTAGATCTACTAGCGCTTATTTTCTCCATTAACAATTGTCGAATGAGTTAACAGATATTCACAAAATTCCATCGAATGGTCAAAATTTCAACACCATACATTGAGCCTCAATATTCTGTTCCTTTTCATCTTATGATCGATTGCAAGTTTCTAATCTGCGTAGGACTCTATTGATTTCAAGTGTTCGAGCTGTTATATAAGCCATGAGCAGTAACGAAGTGTAGAAATTATCAAAGTAATGACATGATTTATTAGTCCTGGAACTATTAATAATATCTGTCTGGACGAACAATGCAATGGGTCATGGTCTGGTTGGTCTTCGAAAATGTATGCTCTTCTGTCATTAAATGTAAGATATTTTCATATTTTGTGAAACTTCACAGCCGAAATACATACATATAGTGATAAACAACAATATATGGTACATATGCAGCATTAAATTATGAAGTTTTGGGGGCACTAAACAAAACCTAAGTCAATTTACTATATTAGTCTAAGTAACGACAGGTTTCGCAACTTTTAGTATTGGATTGATATTGATCCAAGTAAGTTTATTTTCTCGTTAGGTTATTTTGTGTCTTGATTTTATTAACGCAGATTTTAGCACTTTGGCAGTAGTTATCCTACACAGCAATCCTACGCTCCAGAAACTCCCAAATATGTTCAATACGATTTAAACCTGAACTTTGAGGAGTTATATTGAGTTGTCCTGGGACTTGGATAACTTGTAATCATCTTTCTACTGGGGGCTTCAAAGTTTGTTCTAATATACTTATACAAATCAGTCCGTAATTCCATCGATGATTACCAGCTTTCCACAATCGAATGCTGTTAAAGCTATCCAAATAAAATTGCATCGACCGTACTTCACGGTTCCTAACAATTTTTAGTCCGACCATCACATCCAAAAATTCGTCAGTAAACAAAACTTCAGACGAAGACGGCTTTTTTCGGGATGAACAAAAATATATAATCGCGATGTGGCCGACAAAATTTGGTGCACTGGCTCTAGTATTTTCGTTCTTGGATGGGTCTGATACTTCTTCTAAGTAGAATGTTTCTTCAGCCGGCTTGTTCACATTTTGTTGTCAATTTTGATTTCACCGTCTTCCATTTCTTTTCTATCATTTACCATTAGCTATCTAGTCTCAGCATAGATTTCCATTTTTCATGATATTTTCAACCAGTTATCACAGCGACAGAACAATGTATGTATAGAAGCATACAGCTCCTCTTGTTTCATGCAACGATAAATCAAATTCGTTGTATACCTTTGTCGGCTTTATATTTCTGTTATTTGATGGTTTGTTGTTTTGCATTCATAAAAACTATTTCTGTTTTGCCTTCTTTTGTGAATATAGCGTCTTTAATTGTCTTGTAATACTAATTTTCTAATTATGTTTTACAAAACCTCAGAATTTAAGGTATTTAAAGTAGTCTTCACTGTATCTTTTAATATTTTTCAAAACTTAAATATCGAAACAGAGGCATAAAGACATAAGTTGCATTAAATTATGTATTGTGGTTCATTCTCTGTATACAACATCCTTCTTATTATTTCAGTTTCATCTTGTTGCTTTAAACTTAAGTAAATTTTTTGAATATGTTGATAGTGGATGCTTGATTCAAATCCTCCAAGTAATTGTCATCTCCTACCATTTCTTCTTGCAGTCAATTGTGCGAAAATGTATTTATTAGGCTTGTGTCTTCATTATACGGATTTTTTAGTTTATATATTATCGTTTGAAGGATCTAAAGTATTCTATACTTGCTGTTGTCTTCTTCTTTCTAATTTTTGATCGATGAATTTCTTTACATTTCCGGTTTGAACTGCCTCATGGCCATCTATATACATACCTAACACTATTTTTGAAACGGACTTCAGATTGTCAAACTAGAATAAATTTTCACGTCACCAGTACTTTTTTTAATATTCAACGATTTAGTAACTAATAGTGTGTTTTTTCCATTTCAAACATAACTTTCTGTATAATCATTTTTCGTTTTATTTCTATGAAAAAGTAAGCTCAAAACGAAATTAAATTACTTTAAAACCGGTAACTTTTAAACCTTAATCATCTGGCTTTACCGTACCAGAGGACTAAATAATAAAGCTATTTAAAACAGTTTTATCTAGCATTGTTTTTGTTTTATAGTAGTAATTCATCTAAAATCTAGTAAACGGGTACTATTTACATGTTTATTTAATTTACTATTTATTAAATATTCATCAAAAATCATATATTATGTTGTACCAATTTTATGAATATTAAGGCCTAGAAAATTATTGACCATCTTGTAATTTCATAAATATGTTTAGATTTTCATAGATTTGATAAACTTTGTATCAGTTTTCTTGTTTTTGCCAAAATATTCACTCTTATTAGATTTCTTAAAATTCCAGAAATTTCGATTATTTCGGGAATTTCTTTGTAATTTTATAAAGCTAATTTAATATCAATTTTCTTGGAATGTTATAGGTATTCGTAGATTTCGAAGAATTTGTAGTGATATTTTTGCAATTTAATAAGCTTTCATTTGCGAAATTTTTTTGAATTTATTTTTAAATTATGTGTATAATTATAAATACTTTCCTATATTAATTTCGGTGAAACTCATTAATTTTATTTCAATAATTCATTTCTTTAAAATATTATAAATTTACCATAATTCTTTATTACATTTTAATTAAAATAAATACTTATTTTACATATTAATATTGATTTTCTCATTAATTAAAAATTATTTGTTTCCGTCATTAATAATAAAACTATCTTTGATATCAATAACATTAATATAACATTGATATAAGAATTAAGTAATTCGATTAATATCAATCGCATACATATATTTATGTGCATTCATATCATGTTATAGTCTGTTGGATAAGCGATAATAACTCACTGAATAATCAAGGTCAATACCATTGATTGTATACTCAGTGCGAGGAAGAACATGATTATTTTACTGCGAATTGTTATCACATTTAACAACAATGTGGGTTCTGCTTTTAAACAATACATTATTATTGAAACGAAATAACACACATATATTTATGTTTTCACAAAACGTATTTATTTTTAAAATAACACCTTTTTTATAAAATACATCCTCTTAATAGAAACGGTTGCAGATATTTTTTTGCAACAATGATTTTAATAATACGAACACAAGACATAACAAGTTTATCTTTCAGAGAGGATGTCCGCTGACACACCCGTGATACTCATCTTAAAGTTATCTTAACGTCTTCCTAACCAACCGTGACATCTGACTGCTTAATTTACCATTTTTTACGTTACTTATTACAAAAAAAAAACGCAGTTTTTAATTGGTTTTGGTCTATATCTGTAATTGCTTTGGTTTACTTTTCTATAATTTGCTTCTATTATCTATAATAAGAAATTATTATTGTTTTTAATTTAAATTTAATGATCAATTAAATTCAAATTTAGTATCTGAACATCCTTAATTATTTATTGATTAGTTGTATTGTTTTAACGTTTTAAAATTAGTTGATCAGATTTTATAATTTCCTTTTGATCGGTTGTATTTTTTATCTATTTTCTTTGCAATGTTCAAATCTTTTAAATTTAAGCAATAAAACTTTTTGATAAAAACATAATTATCGATAGTTCTGTGCGTGAATACAATTACATGTAATTTGATTTGTTGCTAACTTGAAATTGAAACAACAGCAATTTTTATTATGTATGTTTTATTATGTATTGTCAGTGAAATTGGATACATTATTAATTGATATGCATTAATTTTCGATCAAT